CTGGATTTCACTTAAAGAAAATCATACCACACAACAACAACATTAGCAGAACAACAGAACCCTAGAAAACCTCCATCCAAAAAAAAGAAGAAAATAATAAAAACTAGCAAAAATTTAAAATGAGTCAAAAGGGAAAACAAATGATAAGGTGATCATTTTTAATAATTTTATATCCAGCCAGAATGCACGTTAGAGAGAAAGAAAGTGAGATTTTGTCTCACATACTCTGGACATTGTGCTGGGTAAAGTAGAGGGACAACTAAAAAGAGGAACGGTGCCGACAAGGTGGGTTGATACAATGGCTACAACAATGGGCTCAAACATCACAATTGTGAGGATGATGCAGGTCTGGGCAGTGTTTATTTTTGTTGTCAGAACCAACTTTATGACACTTAACAATAGCAACACATCCATATCAATACACTTTCTGAATGTATTCTGTTGTTAGATGCCATCGAGCTGGTTCCAACCCTCAGGGACCTATGCCCAACAGACTGACAGGCTGCCTGCTCCTGAGCCTTCCTCATACGTGTTCTGATGTTCAAGCCCAGTTGTGGCCACCGTCAATCTGTCTTCTGACGGCCTTCTTCTCTTTTGCTGTCCCTCTGCTTTATCAAGCATAATATCTTTCTCCAGGGACTGGTCCTTCCTGACACCATGCCCAAAGTATGTGAGACAAAACTCTCACTGTCCTTGCCTATAAAGAACCCTCTGGCTGGTCTTCCAACTCAGACTTGTTTGTCCTTTTAGCAGTCCAGGATACTTTCAATATTTTTTCTCCAGCACCACAATTCAACTGCATCAATCCTTTTTTGGTCTTCCTTATTCAATGTCCAACTTTCACAAGCATATGAGGCAATTGAACATGTCATAGCTTGGGTCAGGCGCACCTTAGTCCTCCAAGTAACAGCCTTGCTTTTCAATACTCTAAAGAGGTCTTGTGCAACAGATTTGCCTAATACAACAAGTCTTTTGATCTCTTGACTGTGCTTCCAGGAGCATTGATCATGGAGTCAAGCAGGACAAAATCCTTGCCAACTTCAACCTTTTTCCCGCTTATCATGATGTTACCTATTGGTCCAGTTGTGAGGATTTTGGTCTTCCTTACATTGAGTTGGAATCCACACTGAAGGCTGCAATTCTTGATCTTTGTCAGCAGGTGCCACAAGTTCTCCTCACTTTCAGCAAGCAATGTTGGGTCATCTGTGTATTGCAGGTTGTTAATAAGCCTTCCTCCAATCCTGATGCACATTCTTCTTCATGTAAGCCAGCTTCTCTGTATTTGCTCAGCATACAGTTTGAATAAATACGGGGAGAGGATACAACCCTGATGCACACCTTTCCTGATTTTAAACCATGCAGTATTCCCTTGCCCCGTTTGCGCAACTGCCTCTTGATTCATCTATAAGTTCCCCGTGAGCTCAGTGAAGTGTTCTGGAATTCCCGTTCTTCTCAAGGCTACCCATACTTTGTTATGATTTCTGTAGGAAAATGTCTTGGCATAGTCAATAAAATACAAGTAAACAACTTTCTGGTATTCTTTGCTTTGAGTCAAGATAAAACGGACATCAACCATGACCATATCCCTTGTTCTACATCCTCTTCTGAATCTGACCTGAAACCCAGTCAAAGTATTGCTGACAATTGAATGATCATTGAATGATCGTCAGCATTGTTGAATGATTGTCAGCAAATTTTTTTTTTTTTTTGGTTTGAGTTTTTTTTTTCTCTTTAAAATTTTTTTAAATTTTATTTTATTAGGGGCTCTTACAGCTCGTATCACAATCCATACATATATCCATTTATTCAAACACATTTTTACGTATGCTGTCATCATCTTTTTCAAAACATTTTCTTTCTTTTTTTAAACATTTTATTAGGGGCTCATACAACTGTTATCGCAATCCATACACACATCAATTGTGTAAAGT